TCGGGTGGTGGTGGTCCGGTGGTAACGTCACCAAATTATCACCTGGAGGGACTAGTGTTCGAATTCCACCACCACCTGTGTGTTGCATGACAGCCCATTGATTGGCCGCTTTTCCCTTCCAGAAACTGGTCTCATTATGTATTCAATAAAAACCAGAAACGGATGAACCAATTGTTATAATAACAGTTCGCATTTCGAAGGCACCAAATACATCGCAAATATACTGACGCTGGCACTAAAACCAATCAAAAATTACTTGTGGCTTATCTGGACAAGTAACCGGGAAATTATTATCGAAATAACTATGCGTAACAAGGCAAAATATAACGCGAGATCAATAGGACGCAGGGAATAACCAAAGGTCTGTTTAAATAATAACGAAGACTTCAAGTCCTGAAACGTGAAGAGTGATCAAACATTAATATTTGTATTAAATCAGAAAAAGAGGTGCTTTGGACAATGTTTAAAGTTTGAATGTCGGAATGCCGGGAACGAAGACTAGGGTCGCTCGACTTGGCTCACATGTTGGGAATCTTGTCTAGCCCATCGAAGTTCCGGGATCTCGCTCATCCACTTGCAGGCGAGTTGTGATACCGATGTAAATTGCACTGCCACAATTGTGCATGAGCAAACAGAAATGTAGTTCTCCAGCGAACCGAGAAGTAGGTCCACGTGACTGTCGAAAACTGACCTGACTATCATGCTCAGATAATTCTCATCCGATCTGGTGCCTAAGCGCAAATCGCCCGGTACGTAATTAAGAACGTCAATTGCGATAATCGGAATAACCGAAGTAAAATGAGTGAAGTAAGCCAACTCGGTTATTCATTTGGTTATGCATATTACGCAAGACAGATCAACCAGCAAATCGAAACCGCACTTCGGACTACCGGGTGAATGTAAACAAAACTAATTCACTGATAAAACAATGGCATGAGGAAAAAACTACCATTTAAAACGACAATGGTTAAGCGTTTTCACATGGCTATCGTCATCATAGGGATAGTTCGTCCTGATCGAATAAGAAAAGTGGATTCAAAACCAATAGTTCAGAGGGCGTAGCATCGATGCCTTTTTTATTACACACCTAAGTGTGATGAACAGCAGACGGGGAAAGCCCCATAGTCACGGGGACCTGCTGTTCAGTGATAGAAGCCGGTAACCTAGGCCCCGATAGGTTAGGTGGTATTGAACCGGGCGACAGCAAAGCAGCCTACCACCAAAGTTGGGTGGCGGGACTCGAACCTCGGACCATAGGGCCAAAGCACGCTTGTGACAGCGACTAAACCGCTGCGCCACCGCGTGATTGGATCTCATCCATTTCGACTGCTTAGCAGAGAAGAGGAATCCCACTCGGAAAAGAAAAAACGCACAGAATTTTTGTGATTTAGCGGCTACGCATGACTGTCTTGTCCCGTTTAAGTACTTAAAATGACCATCTAACGAACTAGAGAGTACGCCTATTGTAGTGGGCAGACATGTAAGAGAGATCGTCAACCAACACGTCGGTGGGCAGGCAGGCCAACAGACGCAAGCATTCTATGATATCCAAAGGCAGTAAAGAGGGGTAGTTAAACAGTCAACGAATCAATTAGCGCGGACAGTTTGATACTAACATATGATTGGTTAGAGCGGATCGATATTGTAATAGAGCAAGTCTGCATGACGTGTGTCGGATAGAAGGCATAATCGGTAAATCAATCAATCAAACCATAGTCATGCCTGGTAAACGTATCCGCCAACTCGAGGCCACAACAGTGTCGACAAATTAAATTTCTAAAAGAAGAGAACAGAACATGAGCCGACAGATCAAACCACTGAAACCGGGGTATATAAATCCCTGCTCAATAACTCAACCTCTTTCAAGCAGCTACAGCAAAAGCGCTCGGAATAGACACGCATCAGGGAGTCGACAACTGTCCATATCGCCCCAGATATTAACGGATGGGAGAAGAATCGGATGGTTTGAACATGGAGTAAACTGCTGTAAAACGTAAACAGTGAATGATGCGTCACATTAACTAGTTATTATGTTGAATCAAACTGTTATTTTGACCTAAAGCTCTTGATTTATCTAATATTTTCATTTTTTTACAATGTGACTGTTTGTATGCCCCACTTTTTCGCACTTTCACGTTCACCTACATTTTCTGAGCCCTAGTTAATCCGTTCTCTAAAATCCACCATGCCTTCCAATTATTGAAGTTTCTATGAGCAACGGTGAGCCGACCCGGTGCATTCAACTTTCTGCGTGAATTCGGTACAAGTTCTTCTGTTCGTTCTCTGTGCATTGGTTCTTGTAAATGGGAGATGACCGGCGCTAATGCTGCGTACCACGTTGTGCAGTGATCGTGATCGGAGGCCAGCTATCCTTCACGGCTGCTGAGATGCTCGTTCTGTAGTGTTCAGACATGCCTTATCTCCTGTGTGTTAGCCTGCCTTGTGCTGTAGCACACACTGTGAATCGGCTTCCGAGTAGTGTTTTGCATCCCGTTTTGTTTGTGGCGGGCACATGCTATTTCTTCAATGGGGCTGTGCATGCTTCTTGTGTGTATATGTTACTGTGCCACAAAACAAATGACGAGTATCGGGAAATGAACAATCATTGGAAGCAGAGCATGCACGTAAAAGAATAAGAGAGCATGCAAGGGGGAAAGGAACAAGTCACCGGTTTCTTTGAACGATGCATTGTGACACAAAACCATTTGTCCATTAACAGCGATCGATCTGGTTACCATCTGGATCCGTTGATTACGCAACCATCATTATAGGAAATACAGGAGTGTACGTGAGGGATCGAATAGTAGCACTTGACCTGGGACGGATGTCCAATAGCCAAAGGTGAAAACCACAATGGAGAATAGTTCAGCTTCGCAAAGGTTGCAGTTTTAATCTACACCGTCTACAGTTATTACGACGGAGTTTCAAATCAATTCAGTGGTGATTGGTGAGTGCGGACGGAATGTCATTCATAATCGGTAGAATTCCGTCCCAGATCACTTAGCAAATGGGAGGGTGGAAATCGTTTGAATAGGTGGTGCCTATGAACCCAAGATTAAAGTTACTTCCTCACAACTGATATATCTGTGTACGTACCGACTTGGGAACAATCTGCGGTTAATCTGATCTTGCCAAGTGTCTTGCCCCACGCAAGACGAAACTTCTTTCGACAATCAAAGCGAATCCTCCACTACTAGCCTCTTCCATCAAACAGATAACCGCGTGTTTCCCATCTAGTTACATCACTGGACGCTTGAGTAAAACGAAAAGCTTGTTACGATGTGTATCATCCGGAGTCCAGCACCATCATACAACTGATTTTCGAACCTAACTGAATGGCAAAGTTTTACTGACACCACACTATGGACCGTGAGGTCGCATTCAAATCTCAGAATCGTTAAAAGCAACTAATTTGTCGTCTCAGCGTACCAACTCACTGACTGTAGCCCGCGCGGAACCAACGGTAGCTTCTATTGCGACTTTAGGAGATAGATACCGAGGTGAGTAGGCTTTTGCCGGTTGAATTTTCATCACTAGGTAAGACAGGGAACGGGTATTGGCTTTCCGCTCTAGTCAGTGCTTAACCTCGACGGCACCATCTCCATTTTCTACTTGGCATCCACCTTCTTCAAGTCTGCGACGGACCCGGATAGAACACCACTATAATTCAGAGAGCATGAGGGATTGCCAATCGCTCTTTAGCAGTCTCGTTTATCAGAACGTATACTGGTTAACGCTAAGCTGTCCATGTGATTCGGGTGTTCCAAACGCGCGAAGCAGTAACAGCTGGACTACGACAGGCCTTCCCAACTAGCCTTCTAAACCGCCGTTCAAAACACTCCAGCTGCAACGCTAGAACTGACGCCAGCTAATATCATGAATTAGCACTGGTTGCTCACCAAGAATGCTCTACATTCTGCCGGTTTAGTGATATGAGGCCTTACGCGTCGGGTAGCGACATAATAGAGTGTCAATAATACCCTGTGCTCAGGGGATTCGTCTAGACAAACGAAAACAGAACCACTCGTTCAATTCTGCTCCACACGTTGTCTATCAGTTCACCTGCAATTGCGGTGACGCTTACTTATATCAGCAGACTGAATCTGCCCTGTCACGAGGGATTTCCGAAAACAAATTCCCAACGGGTTACTACGGCCAATGACGTAGCAACATCTCAGAGGTCAATCCGAGAGGAGAAATCCAGGGTCATCAATCGCAAAACATATCATTAAAACTTGACTCATCATTGACCCACTTTTATCGTATCATGAATCCCGAGCTCGTAGCATTCAGTGGAGCGATCTTAATCAAGTTACATGACTAAATTTTGTATGCACAAACGTTTCTGACGCAACCAGTCAGACTGCCGTGAACCTGATTTCTCTTCCTCTCTTGACTGTCGTCCGTTGAATCAAGTTGTGGTTATTAAAACCTTCTTGTATAAATATCTTGTTGCTTAACGTTGTAGTAACTGAGGAATTGAGGAGAAATGTTTTTTTCTTTTTACCTTTAGACGATAAGCCACAACCCATATTTATGCGTTTAATGCAAGCATCACATGTGGTGCGAAATAAGATCGTATTGGGCTTAATCGATCGATCGACGTTTACAAGGCAATATTGGAAAAGTACACTAACGAGCCACTTGAAACGGTTATTGTGCGCGAAACGAAAACAAGCCGACTGTACAATCGAAAAACCCCGGTTCCTGTGAGCATGCATGGCGCAACTACAGGCACGAACAGACAGTGTGAGCTTCCGGTATCCTCAACCAGGTCAAACTGGTGGGTTGGTTGGACAAAAGGTGGCAGACAAAAGAGAAGGGTATTAGAAAGAGTTGTTTTTTATATTGTCAAACAGGTTGTACATGAGAGTAAATCATGTTCGCCCAGTAAACAGTACGGACGGGTGAATCTGGGAATGCGATAAAGAGGTAGGTATAAATGCGTTGACCCGTGCACGACGACGATGACAGAACTGGCATCGATCTGGGTAAGACTGTCAAGACTCACCGTAGCTGGAGGCTGAGTCAGTGGATGTATTGACTCGATGGCATCGGTACTTGTCACTGTCATCAGTGGGCACACAATTAGCTCGTTGCAACTGATACACCATCGCCGCAGAGGGATCTGATCGCGAGGTTTTTCCACTGGACAATGATGATGTACTGGAAGAAGAGGTAGGATTCCCTGAGGAGGATGAGATGGAGGGCACGGGGTCAGGAACACACAGCCCAAACCAATGCGACTGCGCACACAACATATCCCAAGAGACAGGTACTCCGTATTTCCCGGTCAACAGACGGTCAACCTGTTCAGCTGGAGAATAAAAAAACAGAGGGCTTTGATTATCACAGCGCAAATAATGCCAAGGCCAAATTAAACGCAGTAATGAGATGGGAGCAATTTGTGTGATGACTGACAAGTATTGCTGGAAAGTTATTACATTCATGTGAGACTAGCCAACAGAGTGTAATTTTCGTGTCCCCTTCGGGGCTCGAATCGTTCTTCAGAGCTTTCATGAGATCCTTTATGATGAGGTAGTAGATGCTTACTCCAAGTGGCCTGAGATCTACGCCATTTCCTCCCCCACTGCTGGCAATACCGTCTCTTGTCTGCGCCGCGTTTTCGTCCAACATAGCCTACCGGAAGTGATCGTTTGGACAATGGTACTCAATTCACTTCGGCTGTTTTCCGATACTTCTGCCAACGGCGGCACATTCAACACATTCGGACTCCGTATCCAACGGTCAGGTGGAACGATTCGCGGATACTTTCAAAAGAGCCCTGTTAAAGCTTCGAAGGGGGGGACTACGGATGAAATTCTGCAACGGTTCCTCTTAGGCTAACCGTTCAACTACGAATGAATCAACACCGAATGGCAAGACCCCTGAAGAAGCGCTCATGGGCCGTAAATTGTGAACAGTCCACGACATCATGCTACCCAAAGATATCACCTTAAAACCGAACTATCAAGAATAAACATCGCAAACAGGAAAATAGATTGCTGAATTCAACTGCTTGAGTGACTGGTTGATTCACTCACGGGAGAGGCGTGTGGCTTCGGGATTTTCGTCCAGACATCGATTGAAGGCTTCCTCTAGACCTTCCAATCTGGGTAAAAATGCGAGTACCTCTTTCGTTACCAAAGCTTCCATCTGAATAGAGGTGGGGAAAAAACGGGGAGCCGAGGATGATGCGCAGCGGATAATCATCCGTGATTTATAATTATAAAGCAACAACTACTTTAACTTTATACGGGAGCGCTTTTGCTTAGTCTGTCCTTCACAGTTACTTGTTTTGATTCTACGGTTGTTTAACGTGATCACTTAACACTGAATATGACCTTATAGTGTTTTATACTTTCACAAAGTGTTCGAGGAAAAGCCATCAAACTCGAATCGCAATCAGCTGATGGCTTGGTTGAAGCGGAGAGATGCCGGACGGAACCAGAGAATGCAATTTTTTCAGATACATATCGACCGACTACTCAGACGTTATCAGACAAAATGAATATATCCCGAAAGGTGACTTTTTATTATTTAAATTCTTATTGAAAGTAAACAATCATTATAGATTTTATTTTGGGCAAATTCAAAATTGACCCCAACGCATTTATTCAACCACACAGGATGGCATTTACAAATAAGCTCTAGCAAATGCAGGATTTAACAAGAAGTTAATGGAAGGAATGAGGCTGTATGAACAAAGGGTTAAACATTTTGCTTGAGACATGAATACAGTGGTTTGGTCGCTGTAACAGGCGTACTGTTGATCCTGTGGTCCGAGCCCCGCCACTGCCATCTTAGTAGCAGATAGCTTTGTTGTCGTGTGGTTCAATACCAAACCCAACCTAGCGGGGCCTCATGTGGTTCGTCACTCCAAGCCCGAGGGGCTAGGCTACCAATGATCATCACTTAACAACAGGTTTTCGCGACGATGGAGTCGACCCTGCCTGTTGTTTATTAAACAAATGTGTGTAATAAAAAGAGTTTCCTATAATGCCTGGTGATGAAAAATATACTACACTTAGATGAATAAACATAGTTACCTCTTCATACGACAGTCGACTCGGAAATCGTGCGCTGGGACCTTGCAGGAGAGGCATCGCAGATGGCACGGCCAGTTGATTTGTTCGTGCTACCTCAGCCACCAGACCACCTAGCACGGAACACGACTGTTTCAGAGGATCCAAGCCCGTCAGGACCGAGGCTCTTGCTGCACGATGAATCAACTGACGCAGCTTTAACCCGAGACCTTGACGTCCGGGTACGAGACCGTCGGAGAGAGCGTGAGCCAGAGCGCGGCTATGATCCACCATCAATCGATAGGCTGTATCCCGATGCCAACGATCCAGGAGATCGTGATTTTCCTCTGAATTCAAGGTGGATGAAAGATGAGGCCCGTGTGCATGTACCCGTTCTCCAGTCTGTTCAGAACAGTTTCGATTTGCGCAATAAGGCTGCACAAAGAATAAGGCAAGTGAAACAGAAATATCTAAATTAAACAGACAATATGGACCTGGAATGAACAGGTTCCTTTTTAAGTAACCTCAGCTCCTAGTTGGTTTTATTACATAAATAAAATGATTTGCAGTAAAAGTTGGTAAATTAAATGATCCGAATGTATATCGTAAAGGAAGGTGTAGGGAAGAAACATTTGTTGACTGTTGTGTTCAAGAGCTGGAGATTGTAAGTGACAGGAGAAAGGAAGGATTGGGAGGGTGTTCCAGAGATTGGTCATTCTGTGGAAAAGGACTGGAAGATAACTGCAAGACCAGGAAATAGAAACTTCATAGAAGTGACTGATTGTCCGTGTTCTGCAGTGGTGAAAAGCTGTACGATGAATAGGTTCAGATGGAGCAAGCACAGACGAGCAAGATCCGGAGTGACAACGATAAAAAGGGATAAACAAGCAATCATCCAATGATGCGTCAAAGACTGCAGGTCTAAATCCTTCGTTCAATATCTTTTCACGTGCACTTGTAGTGTGCGATACATTGGACATACAACCAGGCGATT